TTGGTTTTTCAAGACAGGATTTCTCAGAGTGTGTAGCCCTTGCTGGCCTGGAACTCGAACTGTAGTCCAGGCTGGCCTCAAACTCAGTGTTCTACCTGCCTCTGCCTCTATGTGCTGTGATTAAAGTGTGGGCCACTACCACCTAGCTACGTGGTGCATCTTAAGTATTCCCCAGATGATTCTAATGTGCAGACATGATTAAGAAACATTATCCTGGTGAGGCTGGAGAGATGGTTCAGAGGTTAAGAGCACTGACTGCTTTTCCAGAGGACCTGAGTTCAATTCCCAGCAACCATATGGTGACTCACAACCATCTAAAATGAGATCTGGTGCCTTCTTCTGGTGTGCATAAATGCAGACAGAGCACTATTATGTACATAATAAATAAATCTTAAAAAAAAAAAAAAAAGCATTGTTCCGAAACAAGAATGGCTTGATCCCAATAGCCACAAGCTATTTCTTTTCAGGGTTTTGGTTGATTGGTTGGTTGGTGGCCCTTCTATTAACATATGATGGGGGCCATTGTCAAGGTCAATGCTAGATTCCTCAACCCTTGAACTCAAGCCATACCCCAGCTCACAGGCCCCTTGTCTCCTGTTTAATCCTATGTGCAACTATATAGTATAAAAGGTGGAATCTCTTCTCAATTAAATGCTGCTGGCAGCCATCCTGATTCACTCTAAGACCCTGTATGTCTTCTCCTTCTCCCCCACCCCAACTCCACATATCCTCTTTGGGACCTGAACCCCACCCCCGACCAAAGCAGGACAGTGTCTCACTCTGTAGCTTAGGCTTCCCTGCTGGCCTCAGACCCCTGGCAATCTTCTTGCCTTAGCATCCCAAGTGCTGAGATGACAGGCTTGTGCCTCTACTCCCCTGCCAGGGCCTGCCTTGTATCAGTCCCATGCTATAAAGGCTATCTATTCCAGACTGAGATGGGAGCCAGCCGAATGGCCCCAGGTCCATTCCTGAGTCGGGGATGCTGGACAGGGAAACTCCTAGCTACCCAACAGCGATAGAGATGAGACACGGGTATCTTGTCATTTCAGGAGAGCTTTCAGTCCATGTTGGAAACTGGAGTCCCCGGTTTATTCAAGCATCCTCTTAAATAGCTTTCCAATAGTGGGGGTGACCACAGAAGGCATCTACTATCATGTATATAGCTGATATCAAGTAATTCTTTTAATTCAAGAGGCACTTTAGCAAGTTCTCAGAATAGGTTCGGGCACAACCAGGGCCTAGGTCTGTTGTTATGTAAACTAGGAGACATTCTCCAGAGGCCAAGCCATTAGGTGATAATTTAGCCAGCAACCTAAAGACAATGGGAGATTCAGGCTCCTGGAATGGATCGGAGGTTTGCACCCCAATACTTTATAATTGATAATTTTGAGGCCCCAACAATTCCCCTCTCTTTAATTAAAAGAAACCCATGCTTCTGCAACAGGACAGATGGCTGTGCCTAGCTTAGGTGGCTTTCTTCAACCTACCAGAGGTGCCAGTCATCAAATCACACATTTCATCATGTGTGTTCTATCTTAGGTTCCCTGGAGGCAAAAAAGAACATTAAGGGGGTGTAACGATAAGTCTTTTGGCCAAGCTGCCTGAGCCCTACCGCCTTGTAGGCACCCAAAATAACAGAGAGATATTAATATTAGGTACAATGCTGCTGGCCAATGACTAGGATTTTTTATTGCTAACTCTGCCTTAATTATCAACCATAACTACTAATCTATATATTTTATAAGAATTTATCAAGGACACTGGCAGCATTCATACTCTCTTGCCGGGATCACATGGTGGCTCCACAGCAGCCAGTCAACTTCTAGACTGCCAACTAAGCTGTGGACAGTACAAAATTTTCTGTCATACAACATATTGTACAACTTGGTATTTTTAAAATAGTGCCACCAAATCTGCCCAGTGTCAACACCTTTTCAAAGGCTATAAAATTTATAGTATAAATCATTTTCTCCCTAATGCTTTCCCAGGTCATCTCAGGCCCTACTAATTTCTTTACAGGAATTTACAGTGTTTACCACTTCCTGGGAAATGTTGTACTCCCATTCAGCCATCAGTCCAACTGAGTACCTGTTTTCCTAAGTACTTTAGGAACAAGTATTTATACTTAAGCAGGTATACAAATACAGTTTTGGAATGGTGTGCTTTCTGAAAAAAGGCTCCCAGTGTTTTTGCGTTTCCTGCTTTTTCTTCATCTGTTGTACTTGTCTCCATCATTCCTCTTTTCATCTCTCAAAATCTCAATGACATTTCTGTCTCAACAATTTTCACAAAGAAGGCCTTCACGTAAACAACTCCCAGTTCTGACGAGTCCCATTCTTTCCCTGGTTTTTCTAAGATGGCCGACCCAGAACTGACAAAGGAAGCTCTCCACCCATGTAGCACCATTTTGGCCAGTCTGTAGAGGAGGGATGGTGGCTAAAAGCAAAGTGGCCGATGATTCCCCCAAGAGGTAGCCTCGATGGCAGGAGGGTGAGCCAAAGGGAGAAAGCATCACAGGTGTTGGCCTGGCTGCACTGAGCCAGCGCAAGCCAAGGTCACAGGAAGTGCGGCCCCCGCCCTGGTCTCAGGCCGGAAGTGGGCGTTGCCGGGGCCTGGCTGTGAGGCGAAGTCGGCAGTGGGGAGAGCGTCTGAACTGAGGTAGGAAAGACGAAAGGTGTTAGGGTGTTGGCTTGGGTCGGCCCTTGGTAGCAGTTCGCGTGCCGGATACCTTCGAGGTAGTGTCCTCCCTCACTCCCCAGCCTTCAGCCCTGGCCACCTCTGCGTCGGCGTCGTCCACTCGACGGCCTGGCTGGCATCTTTTTCTACCTTGTTTTCAAGGTACACCCCCCCCCCCCGTTGCCTGCGCCTTTTCCCCTCTCGTTGCTTGAATCTTCTCGAATCCGGGGGCTTTTGTGTAAAGGGAGAGAAATTACTACTTTACCTAGACCTGCAGTTTTTTTCAGGGTTTAAACAGTAGAGTCAGTTTCACACTTGGTACAGTTCACAGCAGCCTAGTGCTGAGGGACAGGAATCGAATCACCTGTTAACAGTTTGATGGGGAAGATAAGAGACAGCTGGGTGATGCTGTAAATTCCAGCACTCTTGACCTACTTGTAATCAGTCTGTTTGCTGGGAAAGAATAGGTCGGCTCTCTAAACCACTCTTACCTACATTAAAATCAAAACAAGCAACACGTAATAAAGCTTGATTCTTCCTCCCATGCCTTTTTTTTATTTTTAACAAAGTATGACGTAACTGTAGTAGAGGTTCCAAAAGGTCAGGATAGTTTAATCCAAACAAGAATAATTTTCAGATAGTTTCCCTAATGATTGTCGTTAACAAATGGGCCCTGCAGCAAAGTACTAAAGTTTAGCTGATAGCCTGTATTTCCTAACAAAGGTTCTAATGCTGCTTATGTCATAGAATGGGGGGAAGGGGTGTGGAATTGTGTGAGAGGCCAAAGGAGAGCTTGCCTAGAGACAACAGCTGTATGTGCACCCAATTTTCAGAAGATTCCTATGGGAGCGGTTATAGACAAAATTAGTTTTCCCATAATAATAGGTGAATTAAATCAGTGTTCAATAGAGCTCTCCAGTAAAAGAGAATTCACACTGAGACATTTTCTCTTTTAATGTTTTTTGTTTGTTATATTTGTCCTCTTATATGTTCTCTGTGAGTTCTTGAATCCTAAATTCACATGTTCCCTCACTGTAGAGAGGGAGTCGTAATGACTGGAGTAGTACTCATCTTGCCATTGTATAAGAAATGAGAGGAAAGAGTAAAAGTATTGCTAGAAAGGGAGAACATTGGTATGACATTTTCTGATCACATTAAGAAAAGTTATTAAATAAGATTTATTTTTATTTTACATGTGTTTGTGTGCATTTATGAGTGCACCATGAGCACGCATTGCCCACAGAGGCCAAAGAGGGCATTTGATCCCTTAAAACTGGAGTTACAGGCACTTGTAAGCTATGTGGGTGCTGGGAACCAAACCCAGATCCTCTGGTTGCAAGAGCAACCAGAGCTCTTAATCATTTAGCCATCTCTCTCACTGGAAAGATGAGCTTTAAAGTAGTTTATCTGGAATTTTAAATAATGGTATTTTATGACCTCAACTGACCCCCTATTACTAATGTTAAATAGCAATGAACTCTAATAGCAGGTGTAATACCACTTAAAATATATTGCTACATTGTCACTTGAATATAGTTCATGTAAGTAGTCATATTTGACCTAGCTGTCTGTGGGCCCTGGAGTTTATTCCAAGAATATTAATTAGTTGATGATGCTAAAATTAGCCATAGGAGTAAAGAATGCTTTAAAGAGAAATTTTTAGGGAGGAGGTGGTATACTAAGGGTTTGTTTTATTGAACCTGGGTAGCATCAATTCCAGGAATGACTCTACATCTCAGGGTTGTGTGGTGATATTTTGTTTATGGTCTAACAAATAAAGCTTGCCTGAAGATCAGAGTACAAAGCTAGCCACACTAGTTAGCCATAGAGGCCAGGCAGTGGTGGCACACACCTCTAATCCAGCACTCAGGGGACAGAGGCAGACTGATCTCTGTTAGTTCAAGGCCACCCTGAGCTACATGAAATTAATCCAGTCTAAAATAGAAACAGAGCTCAAACAAAGGTGCTCCCAGCACTTGGAGTGATACATCTTTAATCCTGGCACTAAGGAGGTGGAGACAAGAAGGCTGGGCAGAGAGAGGAATGTAAGGTAGGATGAGATAGGAGCTCATGGCAGTCTAGGCAGTCAGTCTGAGGCATTCAGTCTGAGAATTCATGGAGACAGAATTGCCCATTTGGTCTGAAGTAGAGGTAAGAGCTAGTGGCTGGCTGCTTTGCTTCTTTGAGCTTCAGGTAAGCTTTATTTATTGGATCATAAACAAAATGTCATCCATCATAGGGCTGCCTTTTGATGCATTTCATTTCTGATTCTCTGAACCATGTTTTTCCTTCTAGCACTTGAACAGGACTCCTTTGCCATCAGCATGGAAGACACTTACAGTATGTACTACTTGCTGCTTTTAGAAAATAATACATCATTTATATGTAGTTTGATGCCTAACTAGACTGTATGTTGTGAAAAATTCAGATTTCTCTGTGAATACTGAGAAAGGAAGGTCTATGAGGTGTTGCGGTATGGAAATAATTCAAATTTTAGGGTTGGAGAGGTGGCTCAGCGGTTAAAGAGCACTGGCTGCTCTTCCAGAGGACCTGGGTTCAATTCTCAGCTCCCATATGGCAGCTCTATCTGAAACTCTAGTTGTAGGGGATCGTATGCACATCCATACATGAAGGCAAAACACCAATGTTTACAAAATGAAAATGATTTTTTTAAATTGTTTTAAAAAGAGATATTCAAATTTAAGTAAGATACTTTAGTCTACAGACATATCACCCTGAACCTCCCATGGTAGGTGAGGACAAACAGCAGGTGAGAGACAAATACACCATCAGGCAGGACTTAATATGGAAAGTTTATTGGGGAAAGGGAAGGGAAGAGAGACAGACAGACAGTGTGACCTGCCTCCTGAGAGAAAAAGGCAGAGAGACAGGAAGTGGGTGTCTCTCTTGTCTCTTAAAGGGACCTTTGCACCTGCATACAGAGCCCAGAGTACTGCTTGCCATGTGGGCAGAGGTAGCACACTTTGCCAGATCCCCAAGGGGTGGGGCCAGGTTTGCCTAGACTATAATAAGAACCAACTGTAGTGGTACACAACTATAATCCCAACTCAAAGAAGCTGAGTCGGGAACATCACAACTTCAAGGCCAGCATGGGCTTCACAGCAACATTATCAAAAGACAAACCAACTGGTCAGTAAAGTAGCTCAGCGGTAAAGTGCTTGCCATACAAGCCTGATAGCCTTAGTCTGAGTTTCAGAACTCATGTAAAAGTAGAAGAGAAAACTGACTCCATAAAGTTATCCTCTGGTCTATACACATACCATACACACAATAATAAATACATTTTTTACAAGACTGGGATGTAGCTCACTGATAGAGTACTTGTATAACATTCTCAAGACTCATAATTTGGTCACCAACAGCAAGATAGATGGATGAAAATTTTGTTGTTGTTGTTGTCTGTTTTTCAAGACAGGGTTTTTCTTTGTAACGGCCCTGGCTGTTCTGGAACTCACTCTGTAGACTGGGCTGGGCTTGAACTCACAGAGATCCACCTGCCTCTGCCTCCCAAATGCTGGAATTAAAGGTGTGCGCCGCCGCCGCCGCCGCCACCACCACCACCACCACCACCACCACCCAGGAGGAAATTCTTTTCAATGTAGAACATTAGATTGGAGCTGACCTGTATTGCCAGACCAAGAAGTAAAGCATATGGTAGTTCTCATTATCAACCTTGACTCATGCCCTATATTGGCAGTTATATGTGTGAATCATAGAGTCCCTCCATTCTGTCAGTTGCTGATATTTGCTAGTGATGGAATGGATTAAATGAAGGAAAACTAATAAGAATTTCATCTCTGAATGCTCCCTGGGTGTTCCAAAGCTTCAGAAATACGAAAAGATTGCTGGCTAAGAAGATCTCAGTTGGCATAATAAGCGTGCCTGTCCTCTAGGACTCTTTCCTCACTATTTGCTCTGTCCTTGAGGTCACCTTTCAGGCTCATTTGCATCACGACCATGGTTAGCAATTTATTCCATGTTTACTACTCTTCCAGTGAAACTGTCTGTTTCAATTCCCCTCTGGTTTCTGATTTTCATTGCAGTCTTCAGGTTTATAAGCTTCTTATCAAAAGTGAATTGTTTATCTTACTTCTATCATTACCTTCAAAAGGTGGCAAGAATGTTTTATTGGGGTGCCTTTTGCTCTCAGAATGTACTTAACCATTTAGTTTTCCTTCCTTAACCAGGTTTGTTCAGATTGGGGACACAGCCAAGGCAGCTTGGATAGCCTAAGGGCAGTTTTGAATAGCTGGTTCGGGTTTTCTTGACACATCAGTCCATGTCTACAGTGGTCTTAGCTGTAGGAAGCTCTGTATTTGCAGTTTATTTTTATTTTAGCTGACCAGTTTGGTAGTCATTAGATTAAGGATTTTTTATCTCAGCTATGTTCCAAAACATGAAAAGTAAAATCACCTATCTGACAAAAGTAATAAAATCATGGACAAGGAAACTAGAGCAACCAATACAACATACAGGAGTAAAGCAAAGAAGAGATTGGGGGAAAGCTCTAGTTATTAATACTTCTCCCATAGAACATGCTGTTGAAACTCTATGGCTATCAACTTGTTTACTAGAAATAGACAAGGATGCTAATTATCCTCAATTTGCCATAGGGCCAGCTGGATTGGGAGAGTAGAGTGCATGGACCACAATGGCTATATTGGTACACCGGCAGTCCATTCTACCTTTCATGTGCTAGTTGGGTTGTCTAGCTTGGTTGGAGTAGCTAGAGAATAGAAATTACCCCAAATTGTTACCTTTAAGAAAGGAAAAGGGTGGTGGTGGCACATACCTTTAATTCCCAGCACTGGGGAGGCAGAGGCAGGCAGATCTCTGTGAGTTCAAGGCCAGCCTGGTCTACAGAGCAAATGCCAGGACAGGCTTAAAAGCTACACAGAGAAATCCTGTTTCCAAAAAAAAAAAAAAAGGAAAAAGAAAAGGAAGAATGCTTTGATGCCATTTAACGTTTTTGTTTATAATAAGAATGAAAAGTGTATTCAGTCAAATGTGAATGAGGCCTCCCTCAGCATGCCATTGTTCTTAAGAGTCATTGATGACACAATTATATTTTCTCATAGTTATATTTTACTTTTCTTCATTTAGTTACACTTTGGGGGGGTTTGTTTTTGGGTTGATTTGGGGGGGCGGCTGGGGTTTTTTGTTTTTGTTTTTGAGACAGGGTTTCTGTGTGTGATCCTGGCTATTCTAGAACTTACTCTGTAAATCAGGCTGGCCTCAAACTCAGAGATCTGCCTACCTCTGCCTTCTGAGTATCGGGATTAAAGGCCAGTCATACTTTATTTTAATTTAACTTTTCTTTAGACTGCCTTATTCTTTCTGTATGGATTTGTTGAAAACACTGATGTACTTGAAAGGCTGCTGTAGTTTTACAGGGTCCTATTATACTTTATACTTACTGTGTTTTTTCCTCTCTTTTAGTCGACTCCCTGGACCCTGAAAAGTTATTACAGTGCCCCTACGATAAAAATCACCAGATCAGGGCCTGCAGGTTTCCTTATCATCTTATCAAGTGCAGAAAGGTAGAGTATTGTTTTTAATAATATGTCCTTTCTTGTCGACTTGAGTTCTTCTGAAGAGCCAAGCTTTGTAAGCAACAAATTCTTTAACATAAATATTTTAATTGAATGCCAGATTGTTTGGTGAGTCTACCTTGTTAAGTTCCAATATTTACAGATGTCTTATTCTTTGAAGTATATCAATTTTTTGTCTTTTTTTTAATTTTCTTCTTCCTAACTATTGACAAAGTAATGTTTATAAACAGTGTCTCTAGAATATTACCCCTTTGGAAAACAGAGGAATCACTAATTTTTTCCCTGGTAATGAGAAATCCCTCTTACTTTATATATTTGATGTGTTCTTCATTCTGATAAGTACCAAGCATCCTATTTCTTTTAAAAATATTTTTAGATTTATATGTTTGGGTGTTTTGGTTGAATATATATGCACTGTGTGTGCCTAGCGTCTGTGGAGGTCTGAAGAAGGTATTGGATCCCCTAGAACTGGAGTTAAAAGGATAGTTCTGAAGTGGGTGCTACAAAACAAACCTAGGTCCTCTGAAAACACAAATGTTTTTAAGCACTGGGCCTTCTCGCCAACTCCTCTATTATACTTCTTTCTGATTTCTTATTTAGAATTTTTAACTCAAGAAAATATTCTTCCTAAAAATAATTCTCCAAGTTTCAACATCTTTTTTTATTTTTTTAAGATTTTTTTCTTTTAATTTATGTGTATGTATGTCTGCCTGTGTAAGTTTATATGCACAAAGTACACACAGGTGCCTGAAGAGGCCCGAGAAGAAGGCATCAGATTCCTTGGAACTGGAATGATCCACCATGTAAATGCTAGGAACTGCAGTTACGTGTTCCGCAAGAGTAGTAAGCACTGTTAACCAATGAGCCTTCTCTCCAGCCCCAAAATCTTTTTTTATTAGTGTTTTCTCTCTGCTTCTTCATAGGCATAGCTAATATAATGTACCTTAGTCCTCTGTTAATTAAAAAGTACTAGCCAGGCGGTGGTGGTGCACACCTTTAATCCCAGATCTTGGGAGGCAGAGACAGGTAGCGCTCTCAGTTCGAGGCCAGCCTGATCTACAAATTGAGTTCTGGAAGAGCCAGAGCTGTTACACAGAGAAACCCTGTCTAAAAAAAAAAATAATAATAATAATAATAAGTGCTTGTACAGGGCAATGAGGGATGTCCTTAACAGGGTTATTAGAATATTTTTTAAAGATTTATTTATTTATTTTGTATACAACATTCTGCCTCCATATATGCTTGCACGCCAGAAGAGGGCACCCCATCCCATTACAGATGGTTGTGAGCCACCATGTAGTTGCTGGGAATTGAACTCAGGACCTCTGGAAGAATAGTCAGTGCTCTTAACCTCTGACCCATCTCTCTAGCCAGGATTATTAGAATATTGATGTCAGAGCTTATGCTGGAGAGGATGTAGAGTAAGGGGAACACTCCTCCATTGCTGGTGGGAGTGCAAACTTGTACAGCCACTGTGGAAATCAGTATGGCCATTTTCCAGAAAATTAGGGTTCAGCCTATCTCAAGACCCTGCAATATACCCTAAGGAGGCACATTCACACCACAAGGACATTTGCTCAACTATGTTCATAGCAACATTATTCATGATAGCCAGATCTTGGAAACAGCCTAGATGCCCCTCAACTGAAGAATGAATAAAGAAAATGTGGTATATTTACACAATGGAGTACTACTCAGCCATAAGAAACAGTGACAGAACTAGAAAAAAACATCTTAAGTGAGGTAGCCCAAAACCAGAAAAACAAATGTAATATGTACTCATAAGTGGATACCAGGCATAAAGCAAAAGATACCCAGCCTACAATCTAGAACCCCAAAGAAGCTTGAGCCCTCTTTCAGAAACAGATGGAAGCAGATGCAGAAAGCCACAACTAACCAACAGACCAAGCTCCTGGAGTACAATCAAAGTGAGGGAGGAGGGAAAATATGAGCAAAGGAGTCAAGACCATGATGGGGAAACCCACAGAATCAGCTGACTTGAGCTAGTGAGAGATCACTGACTCAGGTCTGACAAATGGGGAACCAGCATAAGACCGAACTAGACTCCCTTAATATAGGTGACAGTGGTGTGACTAGGTCCATATATGAGGCCACTGACAGTGGGTCCAAGATTTAACACAGATGCACAAACTGACTTAGTGGAGCCCATTTTATATGGAGAAATACCTTGTCCAACCTAGACACAGGTGTGGGGATGGAGAGATACCTTGGTCCTGCCTCAACTAGATGATGGGACAGACTTAGTAGACTTCCTAGGGGAGGTCTTACCCTCTCCGTAGGGCAGATGGGAGGAGGGAGGGAGTAGAGGGAGTGGGAAGAAAGGAGGGAGAGGGAACTGGAATTGAAATGTAAAAAATAAAGAAATAAAACTGCTCTATAGGCTTAAAAAAAGATTTTTAAAAAAGAATCCTGATGTCAAAGCTGGAGAGATGGCTCAGTGGTTAAGAGCACTTGCTGCTCTTCCAGAGGTCCCAAATTCTACTACCCATATCAGTCGTCTCACTACTTCCTATAATTTCAAATCTAGGGAATCCAATGCCCTCTTCTGGCCTTCCACAGGCACATGCACTCATGTGCACATACACACACAAAGAGACACACACACACAATAAAGTAAGATCTTGGGGGCCAGAGAGTTGACTCAGCAGTTAAGAGCACTTGACTTCTCTTCCAGAGGTCCTGAGGTCAATTCCCACCAACCACATGGTAGCTCACAACCATCTGTAATGGAGTCAGATTCCTTATTCTAGTGTACATGAAGACAGAGCACTCATATACATAAAATACATGAATAAGTAAATCTTAGGGAAAAAAGTGTACGTAATGGTGTACCTGGTGCCTGAGAAAATTTTGTAAGAAGGTGTAAGATCCCCTGGAACTGAAGTTACATAGTTACATATAGTTGTAAGCTACCATATGGGTTCTGGGACTGAACCCAGGTCCTCTGCAAGAGCAGTAGTGCTCTTAACCTCTGAGCAATCTCTTCAGTTCCTATTTTTTTAAAGAATACCAATGTCAGATATAGATACCTAAAGTTTATCATTTAATCCAAACTATATATAATTAATATTTAATATTTTTTAAAAATGTTTAGAGCTGGGAGTGTAGTTTAATTTATAGAATGCTTGCCTCACATGCATAAAGCCCTTGGGTTAAATCCCTTGCACCACATAAAACCATGTATGATTTTTCAAGCCTGTAATCCCAGCACTAAGGAGGTAAAGGCAGGAGAATCAAAAGTTCAAGGTTACCCTCAACTATATAGCAAGTTGGGCTTGCTAGCCTGGGCTACATGAAACTGTTTCAAAACAAAGACGCATACAAACCAACCAGACATAGTGGCATACACCTGTAATCCAGACAGTTGTAACCAGGAAGTTGAGGCAGGAGGATTGCCATGAGGTCAAAGACAGGTAAATCATATAGTGACCTCCTGGAATAAGTGATAAGATCCAGTCTCAAGGATCAGTGGTGTCATATGCCTTTAATCCCAGCACTTGGGAGGCAGAGGCAGCCAGATCTCTGTAAGTTCCAGGTCAGCCTGGTCAAGAGAGAGAGTTCCAAGGCTACACAGAGAAACCCTGTCTTGAATAACCCCCTCCCCAAAAAAAGACCATGTCTGAAAAAAATGAGGTGGAGGATGAAGAGATGACTCAACAGTTAAGAGCACTTGTTCTTGCAGAAGACCTGGGTTTGATTCCCAGCACCCACATGGTGGCTCACAACCATCTGTAACTCCAGTTCCAGGGGATCTGACCCATTCTTCTAGTTAGGCACACACATGATGCATATACATACAGGCAGGCAAAACATTCATATGTATAAAATTTAAAAAATATTTATCTTGGCATAGTGGGTTATGCCTTTAATGCCTGCACTCCAGAGGCAGAGGTAGGCAGAGTTAAAGGCCAGCCTGCCCTATAGAGTAAATGCCAGCCATGGTAGCCATGGTTGCATAGAGAGATATTCTTCCATACAAATCAGAGAGAGAGGTGGAGGCTGGAGAGATGACCAGCAGTTAAGAGCACCTGTATTACTCTTCCAGAGCACCCAAGTTCACATTGAGTGGCTCATAACTACTACAGGAGAACCTAACACCTCATACACATTTAAAATAATTAAATAAAAGTTTCAGCTGTTTCCCTTAAATATAGTGGTGGGTGTGTGTAATCCTACTGTGGCGATATCTTGTTTATACCCACCGTATAAAAGCTTGCCTGAACATTAGAGGGAGGAGCTAGCCACTAGTTAACCATAGAGGTCTGGAGGTCTGTACAGACAGACAGGAAGTGAGACAGCTGGGCAGAGAGAATATAGGTGGGAGGAGACAGGAGCTCGCTCTCTTTTCCGTCTGAGGATTTCGTATAATTAAGAACACTAGTGGCTGGCTGCTTCTCTAAGCTTTCAGCTTTCACCTCCTAATATCTGACTCTTGGGTTTTTATTATTAAGATCAATTAGAACTTGTACTACATCCTACCACTTGCAAGGATAAGGTAGGAAGATTGCCAGAAATCCAAGTCCAGTCAGGGCTATATAGCAAGACCCTGCCTCCAAAAACCTTTGCTTTCAATGCCTTATGTAAGTAATGGAGTCTGTGTCTCATGTGTTTTATTTTTCTTTTCACTTTTTTGTGGGGGAAAGGGAAGGTAATAGTGGGAATTTAATCTAAGGCCTCACACCAAAGGAGTAAGTGCTCTTACCATTGGCCTGTGTTGCCAGCCTTTAATTTTGAGATAGTACTCACTAAGTTTCGCAAGGTGACCTTGAACTCACTGCTCAGGCAGACTTTGAACTTTCCATCCTCCTGCCTTAGACTCCTTGTAGCTTTTATTATAGGCCTGAGCCATAAACTGTTTTTTTTTGTTTGGTTGGAGAAAGGAAGCTCCTTTAGTTTGTTGGAGTAGGGCTTTTTATAGCCAAGGCTCATCTGAACTCACTAGTTACAGATGACCTTTACCTTCAGGTCTCCCTACCTCCTCCCAAGTCCTGGGATTGAAGGTCTGTCCCAGCATAGCTGGCTATAGTTTTCTTTGTGTGAATGTGGTATATATAGTATATACTACATATTGTGCATGTGTGTGCACAAGAGGAAGCTAGAAGAGGGTATAGGGTACCCCCATCTATCACTCTGACTTTTCTTTTGAGACAGAGTCTCTCCCTGAATCTGGATCTTACTTCTTTTGTCAACTAGGTTGTCAGCCAGTAAGCCCCAGCAACTTACTGACTTCGATGCCTATGAGCACTGACTACTATACAGCATTCAAGACCACACCCAGCTTATTTCTAGGTGCTATTTTGCTGTTTGGGGGACCAGCCCCAGCAGCACAGGGCTCAAAGGGAATCCATAGGAAGACTTTTTGGCCTGGGGGGGGTAAGGAAAAAGACACACACTCTCTTGATGGTTTTCTTCTTTATTCTTCATTCTGTGTTCTAATATTCTCTTTTCCTATTTATCTCTATCCAGAAATGTCTCTTCTGTCTCTCTAGAGTTTTCTTTTGCCTTCTCTCTTGATGTTCTCCTCCTAACTCTCTCATTCTTGATGTTTTCCTTCTAACTAATTTTAACTCTACCTTTTTTCTTTCCCTTACAGCTTATATACCCCAGCAAAATCTTTCAAACAATATAAAAATTACAGTGTAGTTACATTCTGTTTGTCAAGTGAATGACTACATTGAATACAAGTAAAAGAACAGCATGTTTTCCAAATCCCTTACATGATTAAACATTTTACATATTACAGGTGAATTATGTGTAGTATAACAAATTATCCCAAGAACCCACATACATTCATACCCTAGCAACTTGTTATAGATTAACTGTGTAGGCAAACAAGATATTCTTTTCAGGGAGGTCTTTTACTGGCAGGCTGAGTTTTGCAATTAAAAAGAAAGGGCCAATTACTTTATTACTTATCTTGAAAGGTAATCTTATAAGGTATCTTTTTTTTTTCTTTTGGTTTTTCAAGACAGGCTTTCTCTGTGTAGCTTTGGAGCCTATCCTGGCACTCGCTCTGTAGACCAGGCTGGCCTCGAACTCACAGAGATCCGCC